CATTCAGAACTGTATATTTGCGTATATAAAAATGTTTCTAAAATACAGATGTAAATATGATTTTCTGCAGTACACGTATAGACATATATAGTTGTTCAATCAATCAGAATTCTCGCCCGGGTTTCTGGCTTCTCTTTGCGGGCTGTTAGTCACATAGATCGGCAACCAGGCGGAAGCGGCGCGATTCATACACTTGCGATATCAACACCCGGTGCTGATATATAAATACACACATGAACATGTTTCTGTGGTCATCATTGATGTCAATGCGCAATAGGTTAACATGTTCTTCATTCTGAAATCTCACCTGTCGTTGCATCTTCACTTTGCTGATCTTCAATCGCATCGGTCGACAGCCACACGGGAAAACGGCGTGATACGTACATGCCTCTCGCCCATAACAGACTCTCGGTGTTGAGAGCACTGTTTGTGAAGACTGACTCTAACCCTTTGAAGTCTGGGTTCTCGGCATGTGTCTGTGGATCAAAATAGTATGTGAAGGTATATAGAAGCAATAGTGTGATACTCAAAACTGTGTCAACTGAGATGACTGCTAGTGAATGAAGACTCCAACCCTTTGTCGTCCGGTCTGACAGGCAGAATGGATATACCGAAGCACCAGTGTGGAGCTCAATGCTCGGATATGAGAGAACTGCTTGAAACTACACACTTCGATTGCCTAGTTCAAATACTGTATTTCCGTTTGGCAATATAGAGATAGGAGAATATACAGATGGGGCAGGAGTGAGTGATAGATGTACACAGGCACTAGTGTAGTATTAATGGTTTGTACTACTGTGGATGTGTATCCAGTGGACTAGCAACAGTCATCTGGCAACTCAGCCTCACCGCACCGGTTGATTCTAGTATACTTCCTTCCTATACATGCTCACGAGAGATACTGCACTAGAAGTCTAGGAGATGTGTAAGTATTACACACAGACGAACAGATGAATTGCCCATATTATGCCGTTTTACAAATCGTGTGAACCTCTCAACTTTTAAACTAAAAATATGAGATAGGGCCCCTATGTATCTCACCGCCCATATGCAGTGTGTGTAGGTACACAAATATTAAGCCTGGAACTCTGAAACCCAAGCCACATCACATAACAATTCGAATCTTAGTGTGAGGTCAACTCAGACCGCAGGACTAGAACCAGAACTACAATCTATCTTCGGATTAGCGCTTGTGCATCTCCATTGTCCTTCTCCACAGACAGTCCTCATACCTGCGCATAGGAAACGATCGCCACAGTCAGCGCGTCGGCACTCTCCTTCAGACTCGCCAACGTCTCGGCGATAGTGAAATGTGCGGTCGAGCCCATGAGCCACTCCTTCTCACTCTCCTCCCAATTCACGGGATCAGGGGCGTGTGTGGGAAGCGCATTCAGGAACGGATAGAAGTGGAATGTCGGGTCCTTACGGCCCACAGCCATGCATATTTGCAACACGAGTTCGTCCGAAGGCACTGGCAGCTCGGCTTGTTTCGCGGCCGCGAGTATGAGCTTGCCATATGCATGCAATTTCAACTGGTCGTGGGCGAAGGAGCGAATGCGTTGTGAACGTTCAATTACATAATATGTTGAATGAATAGTCACTTGTTCTGTCGTACGCGAATCGTTATAGACATGATAAAGCTGTATTGGGTGCGACGATAGAAAACTGAACTGTCAAACTTGGGTTAATAGGGAACATACTACTTCGACTATTAGTAAGAGCAAAGAAAAGAGTATCTGTTGGGTAGTAGCTACAAATTGATATTTTCAAATAGAGCTAATATAAAATGTGCGTTGAAGTACATCACACATCACACAAACACAAACAAACACACACACACACACACACACACACACATATATATATATATAGTACCATTCTGAGTCGGAGA